CTGTCTCTTATACACATCTAGATGTGTATAAGAGACAGACCGTATACTGACCTACTTGGCGACAGGTTCGGTTGAGGAACTCGCTTGCTTTCCAAGCCGCGCTCTTGCGTTCAGGAATCAAAACCTGACCTGCAAGGCGAACTCCTCCAGGCTAGACGGCCGCCATTGCTGCGGACTTGACCTTATTATGACTTGCAATTCGAATTATTAACCATAGCTTTAATGATATCAGTTAGCCGTAACTACGATGTGACAATCTAAGAAAACATGCTATGTAGTAATATTCTCATTAACGATTTATGGAGGAAAATACTGTGTAACGAAGACACTAATTGCTAATTATTTTCCTCACTTTTCTCCCGTTACTCTCCAATAAATTTTAATAATATGATAGCAATTGTCTGGTTGGGCATTATCTGCTTGATGGTGCTTGAGCAGCAGGTTTGGGCGGTTAGGGGAGCCCCACGGCGGGGGCCGGGGGCGTGGCTGTAGGACAAAGGATAATTGCCCGATAACAAGGAACTCTGCGGCAGCTCATACCAGTAGAAAGTTGAGATATTAAAGGCAAAAGGAAAGTCACGCAGTGTGCTAACTAAATGGTGATGATTTAGTTTTATCTTAAATCATTCTAAATTCACAAGCTTCAACGTTTCCTGTTTGATAAGCTGGCACGTATTAGAGATACGAGTGACGAAGCTCTTCTTATTCGTCCTATTTATCCTGATCATGATACAATAATCTCAAGACAACGGAAACTGAGAAATGAATGGAAATAATTTACGGTTGAATCGTGGATTATTGGCACTGCTGATTTTGGACGATAGAGTGATTCTCCAATTAACAATAGGACGGCAGACGGAATGATACGAAGCATTGAAAAGTTGTCCAATGAAACCGCATAATTTTAACTATTATCATACGAGAAAAAATACTTCTAGTTCAGAACCAAATTTAAAATGAAAAAGTATCAAGTACAGAATATTTGAATGACCTCTTACTTATAAACGTTTCACATACAGGCTGCGAAACAGCAGCGGTTTCCTTGACGCAGCGTTGACGCAGGTTGCTGTTTCAGAAAGCGTATGACAACGGTTTCATGGCGTTTAAGGAGAGAGTTGTTGGTTGCATACCGAGGAAATAATTATAACTCGTGTTTTTCCTGAGACTGCTTTTCGAAAGTTGCTATGGTCACGACCTCTTAAGTATTATGTTCTTTATGCGTATATAAACTTGACATGTAGCTGTTTTTGACTACTTGGAAAATTTGTGATACTCTAAGAATTAAAATATTTTTCAGGAAAAAGAGCTTAACGCTGTCCATGTGCACTTACAAGTGAATTTTTCTTCGAAAATTTATGGCTCATTCTTCGGTTTCCTCCCTCAATAGCTCACTTATCAGTACATATAAATTCATCGGATGATGCACACAGTAAAACCCGCGATAAATAAGTGTTGGAACGTCGGCAACCGAGTTTTAACTCTGATTCAATCTGGATACTCCGCAATGGTTTATAATAGGGGTAAACAATGGTTTATAACGGCATCATCAATGGTTTATAATAGATACGAGCAATGGTTCATAATAGTTACGAGCAGTGGTTTATAACGGGATGAGCAATGGTTTACAAAGGGGCGAGCATTGCACAGCTCCTGCGCAACGGAGGCCGGCAGACGATCGCTGGCCCCGTTACACATCGCGCAGCTTAGCAGCAACGACACCTGCAGCAGTTGTAGCAGCAACGACACCTGCAGCAGTTGTAGCAGCAACGACACCTGCAGCAGTTGTAGCAGCAACGACAGCTGTAACAGCAGTTGTAGCAACAGCTGCTGCAGCAACAGCAGTTGTGGCAACAGCAGTTGTAGCAACAGCTGCTGCAGCAACAGCAGTAGTAGCATTAACAGTTGGATCATAAGAAAATGTTGACTCCCCTTTTTGGCTTCTGTTCTCAAATGCCAATACCGAGGCGACACCAGAATAAGTGTGTACAGGAGTGTTATGAGCTACTAAATTCTTCATGAATTATTACTGTCTTATCAAGAATCTGATAAATGTTAATTATAGATGAAAAACGAGGAAAAATATCAGGATGAAAACAGAATCTTTATGAAAAAAATCGTCGAAAAAATCGATGAGGAAAATGCAATAAGGAAATGTATCTGAATCTCACGAGGAAAAGGAAGCCACAGAGGCAAACGGCGGTGCTCGCGAGTCGGGCTTGATTGTGCATCCGCTGCCGATGTGTCGACGTACGTTGCTGGACATACTAGTTCAAAAGTGTTGATCATATGCCATTTGTTAATGGTATACTTTGATGAAATTTCAACTACTGTAAGTGATTTCATGTCTGCCAATTAAGGCAGGATGACCTATAGTGATTACAGTTCACCAAATTGTAGCAGTGAGTACCAAAATTGTAGCAGTGAGTTGTGGGCTCGATCCCTGCTTACTGCGACAGTTCTGGACAGAATCGGCAAAGAAGCCGGGCGGTTAAACACAGCAAAATTTGAGCAGTAAGTTGCCTTGTCGAGACTCACAACGAGCAGACAAAATTCTGCAGAATCGGTGCCAGCCCTACGACCAAATGAACGCTGATACCGCTGATGACCGTTATCAAATGGATGATTGACTACGCCAGCAAGAGTTCAATAGTATTAAGCGTATTAAATGATTTTCCAGCTTGAATTGTGTTATTAACTGGAAATTTATGCAGGTATAAAATTGAGGAAAATAATATTTTTGTCGTAGTATTTGAACGAGACATGCGTGTACGTGGATGTAATGACAAAACGTTATGCCCCAGCACTGTTAACGGTCATGCGTGTTGAGTAAGCATCTCTGTTATCTTTAACCGTTTTCACGGTTATTCGTATTCCGTATGAACGATAATGTACATACGTGTTCGACCAGCGTTCAGGTTGAAACGGTTCGTCTGCGCAGGATATGCTTCGCGTAGCGACTTCCCGTCTCTAGCATCGCCTTTATAGGCAAATGACAAGTCGATTTCGTTGAAACAGCGTTGATTACATGTTGATTTCATTAAAAACGTCAATTTCGAGTTGATTTCATTGACATAACGTTACTTTCGTGTTGATTTTGTTGGAATAAGATTAATTTCAAGGTGATTCCGGTCAAAAAGCTTTGATTTCGCTGAAACGTCGTTGATTACAAATTGATTTCACTATAAAAGCAACGTTAATTACGTATTGACTTCGTTTGAAACAACGTTGATTACGTGTTGGTTTTGTATAAACAACGTTGATTATGAGTTGATTTGGTTAAACCTTCGGGTATAACAAGTTAATTCCTTCAAAATCATATTGATTACATGATGATTTTGTTTAAACAAAGTTGATTACAATTTGATTTTGTCAAAAAGACGTTGATTACGAGTTATTTGTTTAAAAAACAACGTTGATTATGAGCTGATTTCGTTGGAGCAACGTTGATTTAGAGTTGATTGCTTCGTAACCACTTTTAATAAGCGTTTCTTTCAGCGTCAGATGCCTGGTGGAACACAGCTTATCAGAAATAAGATTTTAGATATTTTATTATTCTGTAATCAGATCTAATAGTGATTTCTACTTGATGCGGCATGAAAAGTATGTGTATGCGAAATTTAAGTATATATTTTTGATGAATTACATGCAATCAAATTGAAGGCTCACACGAGTACAAATAGTTTGGCATTCTCTGAATATTGCCTATCAAATGTTTTGACTTCTTGAATTCTCTCAGTGCTACTTCAATAATTCCAATATTTTCCCAATTTTGAGTTTGATAAATTATATATATTAATTTTGATTTGAAAAATAAAATATTTACCAAATTATTGGTAAATATTTTTGCATATTTCAAAATTAATCAATTATTTAAATTAAAATTACGTTCCTTGAAAGGGAAAGTTGCTTCTTATCTTAAGTTTTTGTTGCCTGTTCAAGGTTTGATTGATTTGTTGCAAATTGCATGGATAATTGCGCGTTGTAATGTAGTCGAAGACACAGTCTTGACATCAATACGGTTTCACCTGCTCTACATACATCAGCCCTTGTCCAAACATATACATTGCTTTCTCTTCGTGCCGTTTGTTTCTCATACCGTTAAAACGGCGCGCTTGCCATCGAACATCTGTTTCGCCTTAACGGTTGGTTGTCGTAACGGATCATTACGTGTGAACAACGCTTGTGACTTTGACTCAGTATTCCTGATCGACTTAAACTATACATTTTCCTCAAGATGAAGATCTTTTGAGGTTAATAACTGGTGTTCCAGTTTGAGAAAATGAAGCATTGGGATAGTTGGTGTTCTAGCTCGAGACAATAAAGATTGAAAGAATTGGAGTTATAACGCGATATGATACAATTTTGAAATAGTGTTTATTCAAGTTGATTCGAACTGAGTGCTAGATCAGCAAAAAATGTTCCATTCTAAATGGATACAACTTCCCTGCGCCATGATCAATCTGTTGCGTACGACTTTTTGGTGTTACTATCAATTACAAAATGGTCTTCTTTTATTATGCAAGCCGAGCGTTGCGCAATTTAAGTGTTGCACAATTCACAGTAGGATGCACGCTAGAGACCTACACATAAAGGGTCGGTCCTGCCCGTTTTTTTGCCTAAATATAACCTAAGTTCCTTTTTTATTCTTTATTAACGATTATTTTATTCACACAACGAGAAAGTAACTAAAAACTAATTAAATAACTCAAGAAATAAAATATGTTCCCCCCTGTATATCGTGCCTAAATTTGGCACATGAGAACTATTTCCACGCGAAACCAGAGCAAATGTTACTTTATTGACTCCGGCTGCTGTGTTGCAACGCGATCAGCTCTCTATTTTACCTTGCAGCAAATTAAATCGCTACTCAGGAGTTCCGGCAATACAGTTTCTCTGCGAGAGAGAGAAAGTTCGCCCGAATAGACGCAGTTGAGGAGACGAGATGTTGCAGGAAACAGATGCCATGTGCATCACGCGCTGGCGTAAATCCGGCGCGTCTGGCGAGTCGAATTCCTTCAGTTTATTTCCAGGCAACGATGATGCACTGATGAACTGCGTCAGTTTTGTTTGAATAGTTTCCGTGCCAAGAATATAATTATTACCTATTTTATTATAAAAATATCAAGGTCATATTCGTAAATTTAGCTTGTTGGAATTAATTGCGATTTGGTTCGTTTGCGCACAGTTATTAGGGATTGTTATTGTTCTTGATGGGAAAATTGGGATCACCATTGCTCGAGAAAGTCATAACAAACGACAAAAAAATATAATAATAATAACAATAATAATAAGATTGAAATAATTTCAAAGGTCACCTGTTTGTTCCCAAATATTTGTACTTTTATTCCGAAGATCCTTATTTGATAATTTGTGAGTTCACATGATATAATATCCAGCTTTTTATTTACGAAACCACCTTATATTGTAATGCTTGGTCATGCTTATCGAATGAAAGTTAAATGTTTCGTGTACAAATCCAAGGACTTTAATGATGCGCCATCATGCAGGCCTCATACTTACGGTTTGAAAAGCTCCCAACTCTCGCGACAATCCGTTTTGCAATCATCAACCCGTTTGCGCAATCGCGGCAATTTGATCTCGCGTCGCACCTCGAGGCTGCGCGCCTGGCGGAGGGTGTGGCTCTGTAAGCGAACGCCACCCAACACGAGCCTTATGAAAGTGACAGCTGAAACTGCTTACAGTGATGCTATCATTTGATGCTTAGTGATGCCATCATTTGATGCTTAGTGATGTTATCATTTGATGCTTAGTGATGTTATCATTTGATGCTTAGTGATGCTATTATTTGATGCTTGGTGATGCTATCATTTGATGCTTGGTGATGCTATCATTTGATGCTTGGTGATGCTATCATTTGATGCTTAGTGATGCTATCATTTGATGCTTAGTGATGCTATCATTTGATGCTTAGTGATGCCATCCATCATTTGATGCTTAGTGATGCCATAATTTGATATTGTGATGTCATCATATGTGATCTCGATCTCACCATCCTTTTAATCGCATGATAATTGCCACGCAATTAACTTCTTAGGCTAAGTTTTGTTCAGATGTAATTTTACCGTAAGAATAAAATCATTAGCGCTTGGTCAACACTGCCTAAAAATGTACTACAACATTAAAAAGATTATGGGTTTGAATATAATATAATATCTTAGGGGAAAAAATTTCACAGCTTCAAATGAGAACCGAATTTTTTTTCGAATTATCATAGTAAATCATCAGTGCTGGAATACGTTTGTCTCAGTTATTCCGTGAAATTATGTTACCAGGATTGTGAAAAGTTCTAATTAATCTTTGCGTTAATAATATTACATGTGTTAACAAAACGAAAAAATGGCTGGGTCAAAAAACGCCATAGTCGAAATATCATTTATCATCAACGTAAAATTTAACTGAGAGGTTCATTCTATCTAAAAAAGCTCTCCGCATTTGTGAGGGAAATTTGATAGTCAAATAATTTTACAACGTCATTACGAGCATTTTAATATCATCAAGATTTCTAGGCGTTTATCGTTATTTTGTATTGAAAACCTAAATTACATTAATCGATAGCAAATCCATCTAAAATAACAACGTTTCACATCATATAAACAACGTTAAATTAAATACGAGCATTTAAGTCAGACTAAAGCAGTGAAATACGCCTGCAGAAAAATCATTCCACAGTAATGGACGATTTATTAAAATAAGCAAGTAATGAAACCGTAATTTTTTTACTTGCAGATGTCTCCACATGGCAGAAATGTTGCAGCCCTGCGCTGGGTGTTGCTGGGGCTCATGGCTTCCTCCCTCCTCACTCCCTTACTTGCCGCCTCACTCCCCAGCGAGGCAGAGCCTATGCAAGAGGAGGCTGCCGAGAGGAAGTTTGTGAGCAAGCCCAACGACATCAAGAAAATCAGGAGCCAAATTGAGAAGCAAGTGAGTCGAATATTGGCTAATATTGTTGGATAGTTAATAAATAATATTGTTTAATAGTTCATATTTTGGTATAGTTGAAGATGAGGAGTTAGTACATCATTGTCTTTCATGTTTGCTCATACAAAACAACTGTCCACCTACTTATTTGTTGAAAAATTTCATCGTGTTTTTTTACGATGCTATAAAAATTACCCTAGCCAAGCGATCATGATCATAGCAACATAATTTTCTTGTACATGGTCATAAAAATCATGTACTGATTGCCACGGGACAAGGAGTCAAAAGCCACGTTTCAATCCTCGAACACTTACATTTATGAAGTTGATAGCCTAACACTTTGAATTGGCTTAATTAGTCATTGGAACGTTAATACTACCGTCCACTATGTTATATTTTTTGCACTTTTAAATCAATGAGTCAAAGCGCATCCCAATAAGTGCTTGTGTCGAGTCTCATCGACTTTGAGTTTTGCCGAAAACACCGTGGAAAAGTTGCGAAATTTGTCACGTGGATATTTTTGTATTGTTTTGCCTGCACGGAAACCACATCGCGAAGGCGTTTCTATCGCAGTCTCAATGAAGCGTGTCGACTGCAGCGCCACTAGTGCGCAGCGGCAGCGGCGTGTATCAGAGACTCAACTTTCTCATGTTAAATGAAGCGAGGCAGATTATCTTCACTCACTGTGACTATGCACTTATTGAAACCAATGAGTCGATCAATCATAGTTCTCTATAGTCTGTTATGTACATTAGAACAGCCCCGTACCCGTCATCGGGGAAGACGCAAGAAACTTAAGTTAATAAAATTTGAACCTAAACTCGTGTATATTTTTCTGTTGGATGACGATAGGACTTTTATTATCGGTAAAAATATTTTTTGCTCTTGAGCATCAAGGCATTCCCGTGCATTGCAACTCCTCTTATTCGTACTATCAGCACTAATTAGGCATCAAATTAAAAAGTTACAATCAGAGTCTATATCCCCCATTAAATCCGGTTTTGGGAAAAAATTTTACGTAGATTACGATCCCATTTCATATCATGGTTATTAATGTCATTATTACTATGCACTCGGAAAAATTGGCTGGGTAATTTTTCTCCAGATATAGAGACACGTAGCACTGTTACCGGACCAAACTGTCAGGATGACCCACAATAGGGGCAAAAATTGCATCGCTAGTTGGACAAAGTCTTCCTCAAAGTTTAATATTAAATTGTATTATTATTGTATTAATTGTATATTCAATATTACACTATTGAATGCAATATATTGAATACTGACATTCAATCTTGTAATGTATTGTATATTATTCAATCGATATTGTAAATTGATTGTTTTGCAGAGCGCGGCGATCGCGTCAGGGGAACAGAAGAGGCCAGCGGAGCACGAGACCGGTTTCCAGTGGGGCAACCTGGCTGGCATGGCGCTCAAGATGATGGTGGGGGGACCTGCCAACGACCCCAGCAACAAGGCTGATACCATCTCACAGCTCGCTGTTAGTAGACATAAAAGCAGATGTCTGGAAAATAATATTTGTGCAGAACACGTCACCGGACATTGGGTTTTAAGGATCAAAATGATTAGAATTTCTTGATCTAAAGATCAACCATCTCACAGCTCGCTGTTAGATGACATAAAAAATGGATGTTTGGAAAATAATATTTTATACAGAACACGCCACCGGACAAAAGACTTTAAGGAACAAAATGATTAGAATTTGTTGGTCTAGAGATCAACCATCTCACAGCTCGCTGTTTGTAGGCCTTGTTTGCCACAATTGTTTAGGCCATTACTCATGAGATGTTTGAAAATTAAATTTATGCACAAAACCTATCAGAATTATTTGCAATGATCAAACGACGCCTGAATCCGATTTAATCACTCAGACTACAAGACCAACACCGTCTCACAGCTTGCTGTAGTTATTAGGACGCTGTCTTCAGCTCACCTCCGTGAAGCATTCCTAGCTTATTACTCTGTCGAAATTAAATATGAACGGAATCCATAAATAAATCATTACCAGGATCAATAAATAATCTACAGTGAGCTCGACTAGTCCTACATTATCTCTCGACTAGCTTGTGTATGTAAACACTATTGCACAACATATTATTTATTGTATACTTTGAGGTGTTACTGCTCTAACTTATTTAAGCTGTCTACGTGTTCCAAATTCATTTGCATTTTAATTTCTAGTTTTACCTTGATTTTTTGACGCTGTTAAATTTTCTTTTCTTCATTTATTCTTGTATTTATTTCTTTTATGATCGATCGGCAATGTCTTGCTTTCTTCTTTACATTCCAAATGTAATAAGTCAGTGATGATATTAACAATACTGTTCAATTTATTATTCTGTTACAGAGCGGATTGTGATAACTCTCCATAACTCTAAAATTTTATTTTCACTTCACTCTCAATTCAAGTATATTAAAAACCTGCACATAACCGTGAACTTGCATGAGTTAAGGTCGGGTTTCAGAGGCCCCTATATGTATTTTATGATATAGACTTATCGATCTTCCCTGGAAAAATTGTGCATGAAAACATACTGTAGAAAATAACGAGTGTCGAGTGAATTTACTCGCTCATAGTATTATAAAAATGACACTACTCCAAACACATCGCAAAAAATTTTTTAGAAGGAATGTACATTTTTCCGCTCTGATAGCGCTAAGCATTCCAAACCCGGAATCATTTCATTTCCGCATTACTAGCTACCGCCTGCAACATTGTTCGGAAATCTTTCCTCTTCTCAGTAAGCTCAACAGTCACAAAAAACTGACATGAGACTTGAAAGGGCTATAAATCCCTCAAATTCATTCTCCATAACCCATTTGCTGTAGTATGATGAAGCATTGAATTTTGTTTGCGTCATACTTCCGTACTAATCCTCGATCGTGAACTGATGCGCTTCATAAGCTCCCTGCATGATCCCCAGTCAAACCCACTCAAAGTAGCTCTAAACTAATCTGTTCGCATGACCGCTTCATTAAATTTATAATATAATGTATCCTTACAATCTGTGCCACTTCTTCCCTCTTTCATATCTGTGCCATTTGCTTGTAGTATCGAACAACAAAATCGGCGGTGATCACTAACTAAAGGATGAGAGTGACGAGTTCTCGAGCTGTCGCATGTTTCGCTTCAACATTTCATGTTTCATTTATTTATTTATTTTATTTAGCGGCTTTTATTTAAATAGATTTCTTGACAACTAATAAATTGCATGTTATCTTAATTTTGGTTATAATGTTGCTCGATAAACTTCCTATTTCGACTGAGTAATCAACTCAATTCTTCAAAATTTTCAGTTAATTTTTAAGCAACACCTTGATTTCATTCAGTTTTGTAGATTTGAAATTGCTTCAAAAAACTTATAATTAATTGTTTTGCTCAACCCCAAACAAACAGATTTTGCATCAATGGTTAAATATAATAAATGTTTGTAAACTGTAATGAAAAGGCAAATGTAAATGATCGAAATTTCGACAGTTGTCGAGTGTGCGTGTTGTTTTTACAGAGTGGCGTGATGACCTGGATTAAGTTCATTTCCATGGTTATTATGATCATGACTAGTTCCATGTAAATAATTTAACATGTAATCCTCTGATTAATTAAATTAGCAACAGCATCCTCTAACCTTTACACGTTGCTGCTGTTATTCTCTCCGACAGTTGACAAGCGTGCTGTCTTTGCCGAGCGGCGCGACTTCAACATTACTAGTACCGTGTAAATAATTAAATATTTAGTCATGTAAATAATTTAATCATTAGTAATTGTAAATAATTTAAACTTGTTACCGCATCCTCTAACCTTAACACGTTGCTGCTGTCATTCTCTCCGACAGTTGTCAAGCGTGCTGTCTCTGCAGAGAGGCGCGACTTCAGCATGACTATTACCGTGTAAATAATTAAATAATAAGTCGTGTAAATAATTTAAACTTGTTACCGCATCCTCTAACCTTAACACGTTGCTGCTGTCATTCTCTCCGACAGTTGTCAAGTGTGCTGTCATTGCAGAGATGCCAGACTTCAGCATGACTATTACCGTGTAAATAATTAAATAGTAAGACATGTAAATAATTTAATCGTTAGTAATGTAAATAATTTAAACTTGTTACCGCATCCTCTAACCTTAACACGTTGCTACTGTTATTCTCTCCGACAGTTGTCAAGCGTGCTGTCTTTGCAGAGCGGCGAGATGACCTGGACTAAGGTTATTTCCTTGGTCATGGAGATCATTTTAAACCTCGTGGGCGGGGGCGACAGTAACGCCATCGACAGACAAGATGTCCAGCCAAGTCCTGTGCAGGCAAGAGTTTAAAATTATTCAGAAATAAATCTTGTTTATTTTCAAAGTAAAAATAATGTGCATGTATTGAGGTCTCGTTTCTGACTATCACTCTTAACACATAATTCGATAGTAACCAATATTTTTATGCATGATGAATGTATCGATTATATGAGCCACGATCCAATGATAGGGAAAAATATATGTTCCCTACTATTTTTGTTACAAAATTAATTTGTTTCAGTTATTTACGAAAATGATATGTCCTATCTCTCACTTTAATGGTCGTTTAGAAGTTTTAAATAACATTTTTCTTAATTCCTGGAAAACAAAATCAATTCCCGGAACAACAAAAGTGATGAATAAAAATTAATCCCCGGAACAGAACATCATGTCTGCTGTGATCGCCTTCATGACGGGCTCTCAGGACCAGCGGGAGATCAACATTCTGGCGCGCCAGGCATCTGAGGTGAGATTGTTTTTTAATAGAACAAATCCATTAAATTTTTGTGCGTATATAACTGCAAAAATGGATGAATAACACAGGCCACCATGTTAGGTGATCATAATTAAAAATGAGGGTTTAGTGCTGAAACTGGTGTACCGACTTTATTTTTAGACTTTTTTGTGTGGCATGTTCTTATTTGAGCCTATTTTGCGAAAATTTGCTCTGATTAAAGTTAAAATCTATTGAACAATTGATTTGGTTTTTGATAATCAGTTGTATAACATGCCGGAGATGTTTTTATTCAAAATAAAAACTTAAACTAGTTGTAGACGTGCTAATATCAATGCATAAACACAGCAATGATATTCCCCAGCTGCTGGGCCTCGCGGTGTCGCTCCTAGACGCGCTACGCACGAGCTTCTCACAGCGCTCCCTGGAGGCGCGCTCCCTGGGCACCTCCGACCCCATGGCCGACGTTGCTGTAGCCACCACGTCCATGATTAAGGTGAATTAATTATTAATTAATTACCTATTACTTAGCTATATATATTAACTTAACTAGTTATTTATTAATTAATTACCTATCCCTGTTTAATTTTGGGTTCAAGGCGCATGAAGATATGGTGTGCATACTTTGCCTTTTTTTGTCTAAAATTCTTATGGACTTGGATTTATTTGTTCGCAAATTGAGGTACTAAGCGCATTACGTCGTGACTCAACTGTGTGTAAATCGAGGGTTCTAGCTGCGTCACTATACATGACTCATCGGTGTTCAAATTGGTGTTCAGGGTGTGTTACTATATTGAATCATTAGGTATAAACCTGGGGTTCAGTTCATGGACATATCGGCGTTTAAATTGGTGTTGCTAATCAATCGAGAATCGGTCCTTACACACAAACTCCATTCCCTAAGCGCCGTCAATAATGTACGATAATATAGAAACTTGGTAACTGGATTTACTGTCAGTAAGCAGTAAATCCAGTAAACAGTAAAGGAGGCAGTCATTAAGATGTCGTTCATAAAAATACAGGGTGCACTGAGAGAAATGGGTGGGTCTGGATAACCTACTTTGATGAGTCAACCACGTCCGAAAATCGATGCACTTTTTCGACTGACTTGCTCCATTTGTCGGTCAAACTGACCTATTACAGTCACTTTAAATTTCAGGTATGACTCACCTGTGGCGTTAAATTGCTGTGACGCCCAGATGCTTATTATATATCCATGCTACGGGTGGCGTCATAAGTGAGTTGACGCCTCAAGTGAGTGAGAGTCCCACTGAAATTTAAAGGGTCAGTATGACCCACAAATCGGGCACGTGAGTCGAAAAATTGCATCAATATTCGGACGTGGTTGACTCATCAAAGTAGGTCATCTGGACCGACCCATTTCTCTCAGCGTGGATGTAACCTAGTTCACCAATGATTTGTTAACTTTAGAATCACCAGCGTCCACGTTTAAGTTGAGGCGCACCGCGGTCGAATTTAATTATTGCATAATTTACATGCAATAATGAGTATAATAAATTACGAATTATCTGCTGCAATTTGTATTAAATACCAGGATTCAAATAATGAATTGCCCGAGTTTACTCACGTACGGTATAGTTAAAGTAATTCTTGCATTGACAATTGCTCATTAAAAATTCCTCTCAGTTAGGCGGTATAAAACCGTTTTCATTTCCTGGTTAAATTGATTATTTTTAAAATCTGAGTTAGAACTACATCATATTTCTTACAAAAAATAAATAAATTTCTCACGAAAAATGTTGTTTTAATGTTTTTAGCGAATTTTCTCATTTATGGAAAAATGCACTATATTATGCTCGCCATGTCCGTCTGTCTGTCTGTCCGTCTGTCCGTCCGTCCGTCTGTCCGTCCATCCGTGACCTCAAATTTTCGTCGACGAGAAAATGCGCTCTCTGTCACTCACTGCAGTGAGTACTGAGTTATATTTTTTCGATTTCGCTGCAGAGTTTCGTGAAGACATACAACACAGAGGACGACCTCTGCATGCAGAAGTTCCTGTGCGAGGCTAACCGCGAGTGCGTCGAGGGTACAAGCGACGCTGGTTATCTTTTCTGCCAGATCGGCACGTGAGTAAAATTAGGCATTACTCTCTTTTAAGCCCTACTTCTTGCTTGATTTTATGGTTCTCGTTGTGTTTACTATGTATTTGTATTTTCTTTTGAAATTGCTCTTGACTCAAACCCCTCTTTGGTTTAAGTTACAAATGAAAGGATCGAATGATCTTGTTACAAGTTGATTGCAATTTGAGAAAGGACAGAATTGTTACCAGTCATTTATGAGATATATTTCCTGTTTAATGCAAGCACTGCTACACATGTTATTCAGTCTGTGAACAGATTGTATTCGGCTAAAAGTATAAAGAAAAAACCCGCATGATTATTTATTTACCAACAAGGGCCTACAAAAACGAAACGAAAGATTCTGAAGCATGAAACATAATTTATATTATAATTATTTGTATTATTATTATTATTATAATGATAATTATAATTATTTGATGCAGATACGGCATGAGCTACGCGCTGGAGCGCTCGACGTACACTCCGTTCGAGATCTACAACGACGCGGGACGCCGCGGCCGCATAGGCGAGGACTGTGTGTTGGCCTACCACGACTGTAACGAACTCTAACTGCAACTATCGTGTTCGGGACCAAGCTATAATAAGAGTTACGAGTTTGTAACTCAATCAGCCAATCACTAGGTGATTTTCAAGCGAAACCCGCCAATCACAGACGAGAAATCTGCCGCTACGTTTACTTAGGCCGCTACGTGTAATGTAGCGAGTTTTAGTAGTACGGCCCTAGTGTGTACGAATATCAACTGTGATCAAAATAAAAGAAATTCTTCTGGATTTATCCCGAAAGCTGGGCATGGTTCTCTTAGAACTTAATTTTTTGGGGTATTTCTATTCGCCCAAAAACATATGCTACTTCACTGGAAATTTGAAAATTACCAGAAATCATCCGTAGCCTCATTTAAAATTTTATACAAAGTCCTAGTACGATCACTAAAGTTTTATTATTTTTAAACTAAATTTATGTGTAATTACTAGCAAACACTTCTTCTATTTTCCATGAGTTTGATCTGATTTATTATTAATATTAAATATTAAATTCATCACTGGATAATCTATGGACGAGGGTAAATTTCTAAGCACTGGTTTAATGGTTGAAATAATAAAAGTTATTTCACAGGAAGGGGCTTAGATACTAATGCAGGTTTCGAATGAAAGTCACAAGAACTGAATAATATTGAGAGAAAATATACTTGAATTATCAGTTTTCTGTCACTCGTTTAGCATTGGTTAGTTTATTATAATAAATCCCTATATATATACATTATTTATGTTATTTATAAATCACTTTGATAATATCGGCAAATTAATCATTCGCGCCTTGTGCAATGGCGGTCCTCCTTTATTTATAATTTATTTATTGAAAGTTAGCAAGTTTTAATGCTAGAACTTGCAATTCTATATTCGTATAATTGCATTAAATATAACCGTCATTAATGTCGTTGTCACAATAGCTTCGACTTTCATTGTTTTATTATAGCACAGAGTCACATCATTTTTTCGCAATCACAACACCATCAAGAAAATTTTGTGTATAAATTAGTTAATTGCCGGAGAAGAATTTGAAATTTATTTAATTGAGGCTAATTAAAAATGAAAATAGTTTTTTCTATGCAATGTTTCATTTTACATATAATGCTTCGAACACGAATAAATATGGCATGAGGGTAGAAGAAAATCGCATTATATGATATATCTGAGTAAGTATTCATTCAGTGGTTAGTATCATGTATCATTTCATGTATCTACTGTATGGTGCGAGTGTGTGACGTCTTGCTATATCATTTGTTATCTCTCATGATTGTTGCTATTATTTTCGTTGTCATTTCATAGCATTGATATATCACTTTTCTTATAAAACTTCTTAACTATTTTGCAGACGCTCTGGAGTCTGGCTATTTGTCAACACAAATTTTTGGTGCACATGTGTTCCATTGCTTTGCTAAAGTCGCGTGTGAAACCTTGCATACTTTTGTCCCGACGTTTTCTTGCCACACTGCTGACTGACAAACACTCATGCCAACTGACCAACACCTCCTGCTGACTGACCAACACCACTTGCCAACTGACTAGCACCTCTTGCCGACTGACCAACACCTCTTGCCGACTGACTAACTCCTCTTGCCGACTGACCAACACCTCTTCCCGACTGACTAACACCTCTTGCCGACTGACCAAAACCTCTTGCCGATTGACTAGCACCTCTTACCGACTGACTGACACCTCTTGCCGACTGACTAACATCTCTTGCTGACTGACTAACACCTCTTGCCGACTGACTAACATCTCTTGCCGACTGACTACCTGCTACCGACTGAGTAACACTTCATGCCAACTGAATAGCATCTCTTCCGACTGAGTAACACTTCATGCCAACTGAATAGCATCTCTTGCTGACTAGGACTCACTGCGCGCCGACAAATTCTTACTGCCGACTGACAAAAACTTACCTCGACTGAAAAATACCTGCTGCAGGCTAAAAACACTTGCTCCAGACCGAACAGGTTTCTACTGATGACTGAAAAACATATTCCGCTGACTTTTTGGTACAAATATTTCACGTCTAACTACTTTTTAATCGACACTTTCTTTACATTTAACTTACTCATAGCTGTTTTTTTATCGCATGCCATACTTAGAGTTGCCCATTTCACTACTAATTATTTACTTACATTTCTGTGCGGTGCTGGATTACTTTTTATAGACGTGGCAGTGGCCTACAAACTTGTGTGTGAAATCACTGGTGCCCTTCATTATTTTTCAGACGCGTTTCTGATGCATCAATATCAGTTAACTGGAGTAATTAAATCAATCGACTTTTTATAGCTCACTTAACTGGTTTTACAGACGCCTCTTTTGGCAAATAATATTGACAGCCTTGAAGCTGCTCCATGCTATCTTGTGACCCACTTTCTGTCGACGCCATAAATGACTCACAACGACTGCATTGCTGCGCTCCGTGTGACTTTTTATTTCCAAACGGTTCTTCGTAAGCTGATTTAGATGGTGTACAGCCACTGAAGTGATTGTCTTTGCTATGTTGACACTAAAGTACCATATTGAATAATTATATAGAGCAGGTGGAAATTAGACTTTAAAATTGTTAGAGCCTGAGATTGACATTTGAAATTATCGACCTGTTCTCCACAACTGTTACTTGTCTTGGTATACAGCCATACTCGTCCTGCGTTGCAGTTTCCAAAATTTTCTTGATGAATACAAAAATATTTACGTTAGTTAGTTAAATTTCACGTTTGTTGAAATTCCACGTTTTTCTGCAATGTGTTGATTTGATTGTTTCACGTGCAACATTCTCGTCACAATATTTGTGGTATACCAGTGAATACTTCCGTAAATTTTCGAATTGTTTTCAGGATGATTTGTAGCTTCTATTTCCATTAAAATTCAAAGAACATTCTCTTTAAATTATTCTTTGCATGTTATTTTCTGCGTGGTAATGGGGTTTTTACACAGTCGTGTTATGCACGTTAAAAGTATTCCCAGTGTTTGAACGAAGTCTCAAGCATATATATGATCAGCGCCTAGAGTGGATTTTTTTGATATCCTTTCATAACGAATTTTAAAGAAATATTGTAAGTTAATGTTCATCATTTCATCAATCGTTCATTACCATCACCAACATGAAACATTCTCGTCGGAGAGCGTTGATTATTTCTATGTTATTTATTACTGTTGTTGTTGTTGTTGACAGTTCCCGCTGGCGGGCCAAAACAGTTACAAGAAAATTGTGTCTCGTTTCATTCATTCACGACCTTAACAATATTAATAGCAAATAAATAAATAGATAAATGAACTATTTGTAAACAACGCCTTGCATTGTGATCGGAATTCTTGCAAAAATGAGAAAATAAATCAGAAGCAAGAAATTTGCTTCCAAATTTGGCACTTCAGTGTTGCAAAGAACCAGGATCTGTGCATGCAATATCTTTTACAATTATTTTAGGAACGAACTAAGTTTTCTTATTTTAACGTAATAAAATACGACTGAACTGGCTAAGAAATTGGAATTAAATAAAATTTTCACTGAGCTTTCAATCGACAAATGAGAACCAAATCAGGCTCCTGGCAATCGAACATAGACATCGATAGAAAGCACGTATATGGACCAGAAATTTGATAAGTAATTTTTCGCTCGGGTAAAATAACTTTTTAGAATAGAATAGAATAGAACAGAATAGAATAGAATAGAATAGAATAGAATAGAATAGAATAGAATAGAATAGAATAGAATGGAATAGAATAGACATTGACGGCATTTTAATCAATATCCACCAATCATGGACAAGAAAATAGAGCGTAAGTTCTTACGTTCACTTAGCGATTTTTTGAAAGTATGGCCCCTGGTCCGTAATTTGCTAGGCATTTTAAGACTGAACATATGCTCGTGCATAGCTTCGTCTAGTCAGTTCTTGAAGGCGTTCATACTCGGAGCGTCAACGATGCTACCAGGGAGGCTGTTCCACATGTCGGTGACTCGAAGCGAGAAGAAATGTTGCCGCATGGATTTGTTCCAATGCAGTTTTTTTAGTTTATAGCCGTGGTCCCTGGTGTTGGTTCTTGTTTCAAATTCTAGTAATCCTTCTGGGACCTTGTTTAAGCCATGAGTATACTTGTATGCTTCAATGAGGTCCCCACGCAGACGTCGATAACTGAGGCTTAGAAGTTTCATGATCATCCAAGGTTAGCCTGAAATTTTAGTTAGCTCATCCAAGGTTGGGCATTTTTGTTCTAGTTATAACGATGAGACAAAAACAAGGGCTTGAGATAACTCACACGCAGAAATTTTTCCTTTAAACTATAAAACAGAGAATTTTAGGCCGTAGTCGTTATTTAGTCCTATATGGATTAAATGTAACAGCTGGTCGAAGTGATCACCACATACCTCACGCAATAATAAAAATCTATCCATTGAAATTTAATCAAAATGTTTCGTTTTGTTAATTCCGAGTGTTGACGTGCGTCGTCTGAATTCATTTTTCGACATTTATTTGCTAAATTTTTCGTTGGTGCAAAAACAAGACCCCGGATAAGTTCAGGCAAAGGCTAGGGCCAGCTTCTTGCTTTGCACAGAGCGAGAAAAAAGTAGACCACGCTAGCATTGTTTAGCAAGATTAAGAATTTTTTCTTTTCAAATAAATGACACGGGATTGATGATTAAACTAATTAGGCAACAATAGAATTAAAGTGAACACAAAGATTGTTGAGTGAGTAATGAAAATTACAGTTCAGTGAAATATAATTGAATTCTTTCTTAATCGATCACTTTAAAATGAGATAGCGAAACATCCAGAACTTGGCCTCTAGCATTGTCCAACACTGGCAGTGTCTGAAGTAACCCAAGGGCACCTTGGTGCTTAATCTCTGATGAATAATATTATTATTGCCACACTTTCCGCCCTCAGAAAAATGAAAGGATCATATTGTCCAAAATTGTAAAAAAAATAATTCCACACTTTGCACATTGACAAGCCTTTCAGCCAGTCAGGATGAACCCATTTAGGGGGACAAATTTGAGCGTTATTTATACGAAATCTCGATATCTTGCATTTCTCTGCGAGTGTACGAAGCCACCACTCCACAAAAGACTGCGTGATCGGCTATCTTCATTAGGATTGCGAAGGATAAAGAAGACTTTGAAATTTACGAGCGTAAACTGACTTCTGCCGGACGAAATTTTTTAACGTGGCACAATTTTCCCGGTTTACCAAAGCGTGGCTATTTATTTCAAAGATAATGAAAATAATTAGGGTAGGGAAACCGAGCGTTTGTTGTTGCGTCTAAATGAAGATATCTTTAATGAAGAATATGCTTTTCGCTCGGCCTTGGATTTATGCACGCTCAACGACAGAAAAAAAACATTGCTATTCACAAAAAGATATTTACAAATCATAATAGTTTCATGTGTTAGTTGATTATTTTAATATTTTGCGTGGCGCTTATGATGAAATCAAATATTAATGCCTCTATATTTCAAATCATCCTGTTTCTCTTGGCTTGAATTAAGACAAACTGGTTAACCAGACGTCCAGGATAAATATTTTTTGAGATTAGATAATCTACTTGTTTGGAATGCCCTAACACTTAGTCTTGTCATCCTGAATCCCGTTATCCTGAATCCATTTATCCTAAATCCCGTTATCCTGAATCGCTTTATCCTGAATCCCGTTATCCTGAAACCCGTTATCCTGAATCTCGTCATCCTGAATCCCGTTATCCTGAATCGCTATATCCTGAATCTCGTCATCCTGAATCCCGTTATCCTGAATCTCGTTATTCTGAATCCCATTAACCTGATTCTCGTAATCCCGAATTTCACCATCCTGAATCCTGTCATATTGAATTCTGTTACCTTGGGTGGCCCAGTGGGTACAGTTCAGAGTACCAGGATTGGAGCAGAGAGGTGCTGTTTGATCCCAACTCTGTGCGCCAGTTTCTGGTCAGAATCGGCGAGGAGGCCGGGCGGTTAAGCACAGCAGAATTGTAGCAGTGAGTTGTGAGTTCGAGACCACATCAAGCTGTGAATGTTCTGCGATGGCGACAAGAATCGGCGACAGGCCTACGGCCTATATAATAAACGTTGAAACCGCTATTATTATTGTTATTATTATCTTGAGTCTCGTTCTCCTGAATCCAATTCAAATACATTTTTCAAGGGACATTCAGCGCGTAACTCCAAATTAAGTTTTATATTTATTATTTATAGTGTATTTATTTATAGCATAGAGCGCTCATGAATTTGTAATTTTTAAATTAGATAAACAAGCACCAAATGAGAATTATATTTCATTAATCTAGTTACTTTTATTTATGTCCCTAGTCTTCGAACACGAAAAGTTCAACAAACAGATAAGATATAAATGTATATTGTTAATTTAATTCGAACGTCGTAGTGGCTATTCACAGGAAATCTCAGATGAGATTTTTAAAAAACATAATCGATATTTAGGAAAAGCTGCACGGGCTCTTAAACCTTTAGGCTATTCCTTTTTTGAATAAATGTGGATTAAGATCCCCCATACTGTCGTCTTCACAGTAACAAACATGTAGACATCATTTTTGAAAAAAAAAAACTGAAAAAAATTTCAAATTTTTTCAAACACAAGTTACCGTAAAACTTTGTTATGAGTCAAAGCGAACGTCATTTAAATGATAGGTTAACATAATATCGAAATGAATAAATTTGTCTTAAATAAATTTGTAGCTGCTGAATACCTCATACCGATGATATATGCTACGGAAATTCAAAAAATTTACTCTAAATTTGCATAGGAACTAAAATGGCTCTCATATATAATTTTTTATTTCACAGCTAACGTAAATATAATTAGAGCAGTACGCTACTGGTAAAAAGTTAAAACCCCCAATGAAGATTTAAAACCGCGATTCAATTCACATACCGCAAGCGAAGTAGATTATGGCTTGTGTGGCAAGTTAACGCTAATGATGGACAGTATAAGTAAAATATAACAAGAATGAAATTGGCTCGTAAGTCAAGTCCATGTCGTATAACGACGTCGTAACACCGCTGTTAGTCCCTCAAAGTCTATGTCTTCAGAATTAAATTTCGATCTTCCAACGACCGCAATTATATGCGAATGTCTTTAACTGATGCTCCGTCTTACGATAGTCAATAATTAGGCTGATGCTCTAAAGGCGCGGGGCATCAGCGTAACCGTGGACTTCGAAGTCTTAAACTAATCCCAAGGTCATAAGGTTATGTCTTGATATTACACTTCATCTGACTGCCATAGTTCATGAGCAAGTTCCGCCACGAAGACGGCCTCGAATGATGCAGGACACAAGAAATATATTAGAGGAGATTTGATGGATTATACGAGCCTATAGAGGCCATGAGTGTGCGTCTCTTGTAACTGATGGATTACAGAAGGCTAGTGGCCATGAGTGTGCGTCTCTTGTAACTGATGGATTACAGGAGGCTAGTGGTCATGAGTGCGTCTCTTGTAACTGATGGATTACAGGAGGCTAGTGGTCATGAGTGCGTCACTTGTATCTAATGGATTACAGGAGGCTAGTGGCTATGAGTGCGTCACTTATATCTAATGGATTACAGGAGGCTAGTGGTCATGACTGCGTCTCTTGTGACTTGGGCTAGTACAGGAGGCTAGTGGCTATGAGTGCGTCACTTGTATCTAATGGATTACAGGAGGCTACTGGTCATGAGTGCGTCTCTTGTAACTGATGGATTACAGGAGGCTAGTGGCCATGAGTGTGCGTCTCTTGTAACTATATACTTGCGAAGCAAATGAATCTTAAAAAAATATAACTCAGTACTCACTGACAGAGAGCGCATTTTCTCGCCGACGAAAACTTGAGGTCACGGACAGACGGACGGACAGACAGACGGACATGGCGAGCACAATAGTGCATTTTTTCCATAAATGAGAAAATGCGCTAAAAACACATATATGTATAAGCAGTTGATCCTGTCTCTTATACACATCTAGATGTGTATAAGAGACAGGACTAGACCTCNGTCGCGGATGCCCTTCTCAATGATGTCCGCTGTACGAAGGAATATTTGTTTAGGCAAATTTGATTATGGTCTTCGTTCTTCAGTTGTCCAGAACCATATTAAAAATCGAATGCTTATAATGCTCTTTAGAAGATACGTTTCTCCAGACATTCAGGCACACACTTAATAAAAATATAACTTTAAACTGTAGGAAGAGAGAGGTTCAGAAGATTTTTTGGTAATTACTGAAAACTCTACCGATGTATTTGAGTGCCTGAGCGAACTGCTTGAGGCGGTAGTGGCACAAGGCAACGTTGTACGAGAGATGTGGGTGCCCAGTGACGACCTGGAGTGCAGCGCTGAACTTCTGACAGGCTTCATCGAAGCGACCTTCCTGCTCAGTGGTCGTTGCGAAAAATTATATATTTGGCATCGCTTTGATTAATAAATCATTTTTTTCGTTTTAATTTTTTTTGGTATCGATAACCAGAGTATTTGTGGCAGCAATCACTTGTTGATGAATTTGCTAAGGTCTTACTTTGCACGCACTCTGAGGTTGACGATTTTGTGACTCCAATCCAAACAAAATACTCGCTCACCGAAGAGTAATAGGAATGTCACGAGTTTGCTGACCTTGTACAACAGACAGGCTCTGTTGACCTCAGCATCTGGGTCGTCGTCAGGACTCTGGTCGACGAGGCTCTTGGCCCCTGGCAGGTCCTCCTCGCCGTACTTGATGGCGGCTTGCAGCTTCACGATGCTGCCCGCGTACTTCTCGCCCTCGATCTGGCATGTCACTTTCATCGCCTCTTCGTACAGACAGGCCTGGGTGATGATCAAAGTTTAGGTTATACATAAAACTTGAACAAAAATATCTTTGGCAATGCTCCTTTATCTTATGCGTTACATTACTTGGCTTGTCATAGCAGGTTATTAAGCCACGTATGCCTGATAATAAATGTATGGCAAAATTTCAAAATCTTCTTCCAATGTACACAAATTTCACATTAAGTTTATCTTTGCATCATTACTGAATTATTTTATAATTCGGAACCACGAGATTCGGAAGCTCCTGCAGACACCATATCCTCGCATCGTCTTCTCCGCTGAATGGATGCGCTTCGTTATAGTATTCCAGGTTAATAATTCATATCCATGTCAGTACTGAAATTTAACCTCAATCCGTTATAAAAATCTTCAACTTATTATGACGGAAATCTCCATTAAAGCAATGATGTTTAACATATGTCAGCTACTAGCTCCACTGGGCTGGATCAGTATAGTATAGTCGCTCATATTAGTCATGAAAGTGTTTGGCATCCGCAGTAATGTGACGCATGGACATCGCTTACAGGGAAAAGTCCTTCAGATCACAATAATTTTAGATAAATCATTACCAACACAACAAATGTTATCGCGAAGGAGATTGTCACATGTCATCAAGCATGGGAAGTAAAGGTCTGTTGCATACCAGCGAAAGTGATCTTTATCTGTACTTTTCACTGACGATGCCATCATCGCGGAGTAAGGGTGTCTTTGATTTTAATAATATAATTTAGTGTATATTTGATATTTGCCCCATCATTAATCCTGCTCAAACGAGGTTGTATGAATGATATGATTTTTTCGGAGCTGTTAAACAAAATTTGAATTTATAATGTTAATCAAGTTATTTATATATAGATGAGATGGCATCACTTGGAAGTTGGAACAAAGCTGGTGGTGAAACTTTTGTAGATAAATCGGTCAGTTAGACATTCTAATGCGAGATTCAAGCTGTGTTTTGTGCGTAAGCACGAATGAAGTAATTAAAATACCTAAAATACAGTTCTGGGACTGTCTCTTATACACATCTAGATGTGTATAAGAGACAGACTCAGTACTCACTGACAGAGAGCGCATTTTCTCGCCGACGAAAACTTGAGGTCACGGACAGACGGACGGACAGACAGACGGACATGGCGAGCACAATAGTGCATTTTTTCCATAAATGAGAAAATGCGCTAAAAAGGACGAGGGAACGAACGAGGGTTTCAGTTTAAGTTCAATATAGTTTAAAGTAGCATGTCAAAAGGATAGAATTGAATGTTTTTGTTCATGTTACTTGTTTGTGCGTGTCTATGGAAAAGTTGTCTCCTTGGTACTAAAAATATCCTGCATGGGTCAACTTGATGCAATTATTTACTTCGCAGTTATTTACACTGCGTAGCTGTGGGTGCATGTGCCGACGGCGATGCGGTGATGCGTGTGTAACCGGAAACACCGACGCAGTCGAAATAACTACGGGTAAGCGCGCCGACTTATAATAATAATATAATATATATATAATAATAATAATAATAGCGGTTTCAGCGTTTATTAGGCCGTAGGCCTGTCACCGATTCTGAACATCGCAGAACATTTACAGCATTTTGCGGTCTCGAACTCGCAACTCACTGCTTCTTAGCCCCTCTTTCTTCAAAACCTGGAGGTTTAGCCCTCACTGCCCTTGAAAACTGGGGCTTAGCCCCGCTGTATCTAAAACCGAAAGGTTTAGCCCACGGTGCCACCTGTCCCTGAGAACTGTGGCTTTGCCCTTCTGTCTTTAAAACCGAGAGGATTAGCCCACCTGTTCTTGAAAGCTGGGGGCTTAGCCCCTCATGTCCTTAAGCCTAGTGATACCCCGGTAAGCACTATTGGTATCCTCTGAACTCATTGAACCAGGCACAAAGCCTATGCTTTCTCTAGCCTCTGGATTTATTTAGCAGAATCTTGAGCTCTTAGGTTAATGAATACACTCTCTTATAACCCATGCATACGATTTCACTGTACAGTTATATTATGTTATATTAGTTGAGGTTAGCATCATTCCCACTAAATAATTTTCGAGAAACGAATAATCAAATGCAGCTAACAGGAAGATTCTTTCTAACACGTCATCTTTACAGCACGAAATGGGGCGCTTATCCTATCGTCGTTCTTACCGAATGCAGTCTCATCAAGAAAGCCTTTCAACATCCAAGCTTTCAAGGGAGGCCTGATTTCTTTTCATTCAGAATGGCGCAGCGGTGTGGAAAAAGGGGTGAGTGAGTGTAGTCTAGTAGCACCAGTAACTGACTTATTTGGCATTTTTAACACATTCTTTCGATATATGTAAGTAACTTGTTCGAACATCTAACATTTGTTAACTGTTCCGACATTTTCTCCTCACTCAGCTGCAGAACCTGGGCATGGGCAAAACTTTCCTCGGGAACGCCATAGAGCAGTGGTTCTCAAAGTGGGCGATATCGCCCCCCAGTAGGGGCGGTAGAAAGATTTTGGGGGGCGGTAAGGAAGAAGAAGACGGTAGAGGGAGGGCGGCAGTCCGAAGTCGAACGTTTGTTTGACGATTTTTACACAACACGTTCAGCACATGACTCCCAGCGATAGTTTTTTCACCCAGATCTGTTTTTTAACCTCTCCTGGGTTTACGTCTCGGACAAATTAACGGCCGGACACGCGGCCGGTCTCACGGTCAATTTCCAAATTCAACGATCAAGGAATATCTCAAGCTAATGAACTTGACTCGATGAAACTTGGTACACGTATTCATTAGGACCTAACGGAAACGTTTAGCTAGTGGAATTTTTTTGAATTTTGCCTTCATTTGTTTTTGCCATAGTTATGTGGCAATACGGGCCGAAATTCACAGTGATTAAGGAATTTCTCCCAAACTACCGAACAGATTCGAACGAAATTTTGATTTTACAGTCCTAACTACCGAACGGTAATGTTTAGCTCGTAAAAATTTTTCCGATTGTGCCTTCGTTCACGAGTTTTTTTTTTTTCATTTCACCTTCATTTGTGATTTGAACAGCAATACGCGCTTAAATTCGCTATAATTAAGAAATTTCTTTCAAACTAAGAACAGATTTGAACGAAACTCAGTATTCAAATACCTAACCTCAGCAACGGTGATGTTAGCTCGCTACAATTTTTCCGATTTTCCTTCGTTTGGGAATTATACAGCTATACGAAACGGCTTTTGTTAAACCGCTGTTGGTTAAACGGCTGTTGGTTAAACGGCTCTTGGTTAAACCGGCCGGTAGAAAAGCCGGTCGTTTCTTCTATATCTGTATAACTTGCGAACGAAAGAAAAATAGAAAAATTGTTACGAGCTAAACATCACCGTTGGGAGGTTAGGTATTTATATACAAAGTTTTGTTGAAATCTGTTCAGTAGTTTAGAAGAAATTTCTTGATCGCCGCGAATTTAAGCGACAAATTACCTGGCAATACCGGCCGAATATAAGAAATTGTGAAGTCACGAATGACGGTGAAATGAAAAAAACTCGCTAACGAAGGTAAAAGCGAAAAATTATTTATGAGCTAAAATATCACCGTTTGGTAGTTAGGAATGTATATTCAAAATTGCGTTTATATCTGTTCAGTAGTTTGGAAGAATTTCTTTGATCACTGCGAATTTCGGCCTGCATCGCAATATAACTCACCCTATCGAAACTTTTATTCCTGTCAGCCGCTGGCACATGGACGCTCCAAGTTCTTGTTCCGGTGTAAATTAGAAGCTCTATGTCCGCTTTAGGTTCCGGTTGCCGGAGCGAAATGAGCGCCGAAATGGAATCTTGTGAAATTACCCGTCGAGCTTGGGGCGATCGTGGGGCGCGCGTGTTTGGTACCTGATACGTTCGGGACAGACACGGCCGAATCTGAAAAATGCGTTAAAAAAATGCCCCCTCCCTTCCCCCCTTTATGGGGGGAAGGGAGGGGGCATTTCAATCTCTGTACGCTATATT